CGTGCGACCGCAGCAACCTGGCCGACTGGCTGGGCGGCATCGACCCCAAATTCCGGCAGTACACCTACAACCTGCTCACCTGCGGCATCAACCGCAACTTCCTGCACCGGGTGACGGAGCAGCAGCTGCAGGAGGACTGTCACATCGACACGGGCTTCCACCGCGTCCGCATCCTCACCGCGGCCAGGGGTGCGGGCAGGCGGGAGGGGCTGGATGAGCACCGAGGGCTGTTTGGGGTGAGCTGTTGGGGTTTTGTTAACTTTTGGTTGCTGTTTGCTCTGCCCAGAAACTCTTCACTCCCCTATAACTCTGCAAACCACGTCGAATGGGACCGATGTGTTCATCAGCTACCGGAGGAGCACCGGGTCGCAGCTGGCCAGGTGAGTCCTGCAGGCAAGAGTGTGGTGCTGGGCTGAAGTCCAAAGCAAAGGCAGGTAATCAGCTGTGGGAAAAATGTGGAATGGGGAGGAGGGAGATGCTGCCAAAATCCACAGGGTAAATAGAGACAGCACGTGCCATAACCTGCACAGTGAACAGGCTAATTCCCAGTCCTGTCACTGCCACCTTGTCCCTCTCTGACACTGACTTACCCTTTCCTTAAGCTATGCTCTTAGGGGATCACAGCAGGGAACTAATGTCAGCTCCCTGTGTTCTCTGCATGAGCTGGCATCTCAAGGACCGTGCCATTCCCTGTGGGAGCCTCTTTACTACTCCTCTGTCAACCCATATCTTAGCAATGGAGTGGGAGAGCACGTGAAACCTCTCCTCATGGTGCTGTCCTCCCTTGCCACCAGCCTGCTGAAGGTCCACCTGCAGCTGCACGGTTTCAGCGTGTTCATTGACGTGGAGAAGCTGGAGGCAGGGAAGTTTGAGGACAAGCTGATTCAGAGCGTCATGAGCGCCCGGAATTTTGTGCTGGTCCTCTCACCAAACGCACTGGATAAATGCATGGAAGACCCCGAGTGCAAGGACTGGGTACACAAGGTAGGAAATGCCATCACGTGGGAGCTGGGTGGACACTGGAGCGGGAAGGGGCTGGTGATGGGCTGACACAGGCCATAGCCTGAGCACCTGCATGTTCCTGCAGGAGATTGTGACAGCCTTGAACTCTGGAAAGAACATTGTACCTGTTACAGACCATTTTGAGTGGCCAGACCCAGAAACGCTTCCCAAGGACATGAGGGCTGTCCTGAAATTTAATGGTATCAAGTAAGTAAAAGCCATCTGTGCCTTGGGGTTCCTTGACACCTGGAGAGAACACCTTGCATAAGCAGTAGCAAAGAGCACAAGGGCATTGCGAGAAACACATGAGGGAGGCAGAACAGGTCAAAGGAGCAATGAGTCACTTCAGGTACTCCACAGCATTCAGGGAGCAAAGGTTCCCACAACATCCCTGCTGCTGGTGGTGTGCTTGAGGCTCCTCTGGGTGAGAGAGCTCCCCATGTCACCACTGCTGGGAGGACACCCTTCCCTGTGCCCTCAGCCCTCCAGGCAGGAGTCATGCTGTCAGGTTTTGCATTCCCTTGGATTCCTCTCCCCTCCTGCTTCCCCTCATGCATCCCAGCCTGGCAGGGCATCCCACAGCATCCAGTGTTGCTGCATTTTCCACGGGGAAAAGGAGGATCTCTTAGAGAGCTGGGATGGATGAAGGGAGTCTCTGGCTCCCAGCCCAAATGAACAGAGCTATCTTGTGGCATCTCAGGCAACAGAAAAATTAAATCACGTTTTCTCCTCAAAAAAAACACAGGTGGTCCCATGAGTACCAGGAGGCCACGATCGACAAAATCATCCGCTTTCTCCAGGGCCGCTCCTCCCGGGACTCGTCGGCCGGGTCAGAGAATGGGCTGGACTGCTCGCTCTCCATGGGGCAGAGCTAGAACCAGCACAGCTGCCTCATCCCCTCCAGAGACTTCCCAGGTGACCCCTTTTTGTGCGGGTCCCAATTTGTCCCTCCTGACTTCTTCCCATCTTAGTACCCTGGCTTGAGAGAAGGTCTGTGGCTTGTTACTCCCTCTTCACTCTCCAAATACAAGTCCCTGGACCTAAAAGGTCAGTACTCACTCACACGGCGCCTGGTGAGCCAAGCCTGGGTGGACTTTGGGATGGACAAGTTGTCTTCCACATCCTCCTGTGGGACAGCAGGACGTGCAGGAGGTTGTGAGGGAGACTGGCACTATCCAGCACCCCTCAAACGCTGCAGCTTTCCCCAGGAGCACGTCCAAAGAGGCAGGATCTTCCAAGGACTGAAAACTGGGAAACTGGTGAGGGTTCATCAGAAAGGACACATGGGAGAGAAGAACAACTGACAGGAAATGGTCTATAACCACCGCGTGGCTCTGCTTGTGCCATGGGAATATCCTTCTGGTCAGCAACTGCGAGCAGGAAAGGGCAAATAAAAGCTAAGCCCTAACAAAATCCCTGTGTTTGGGAAAGATAACACACAGAGGCCTTCTGAACTGCTTTCTCTTTTCCAGTAATATCCCTTTATCACAAGAGTTCACTCCCTTCCTGAGGGCCTTCCACCTCCCAGTGCTGCAAAACCCCTGTGTGCTCTTAACTCTGGCAATGGAAGTTTGGGGTTAGACCATGCAGAAGTTCCTGCAGGATTTCTGCAAAAAGTGCTTTTAAAACACCTTCTTTGCCTCCACCTGATGTCTCAGCTTCACCACTCTATCAGGTCCGTACTTCCAGGGTGTGGGAGGCTGCACTGTGACTCTGGAAAACATATCTCCATGCAGATAGGCAAGATGCTAATTGCTGTGCTGTACTCATGGAGTTATTATCCACTGGCTGTATTTTATTTTGTCACTGCTCCACAGCAGATCTCCTTCAGCAGGAGCTGGTGTATCGCCCTGCTGACCATCCCACACCCCAACAGCCCTGGCTGAGCTCCTCGGGGTTGTCCCTACTCACTGCTGGATTGAACACCACATTTCTTTCTACTGAGCTCTTCTCAACACCCATGGGGGCTTTTTGCAGCTACTCACCTTAAAATTATCAGGGAAGTGTAAAGTTGATACAAAGGGCTGGCAATGGATGCTAGGAGTGAGCTCCAGCTGGGAGCAGGACTGGCACTGCCTGCTGCTAACACTGCTGGTGAGAAACCATGGGTATCCTGACACAAATCCCTGAATTCCATGTTCCCAGCCTTGTCCTGCTTCTCCCACCCGCTTGGAGGGAGCAACATGCTATTTTGCATGTTAGGAGCAGAAATTGCAGCTCCTACCTGAGTTTGTATTTTTTGATGCAGAGCAAAGTGAGTAATGCAAAAAGACATCCTTGTTCAGAGCATGGGCAGGAGTAAGAGCATGGAGGAACACGGAAAAAAAACCAGGCTGCCCTGGTGCTCTGAAGACCAGGCTGCTGCATCACCCTACAGAAGCAGCAAGTTCATCTTCCCATCCCTGCTCAAGATAACTCTTTTCAGAGATAAAGAGGAGTCTCAGCCACCTTGTCCTCATCCTGGCTCTTCCTGAAGCCTTGCTACCTGCCTTGCTGGCAGGAACACAAACACTTTTTTTCCTGGCTTAGACTCATGAACATTTCAGGAAAAAAAAAAAAGAAGAAGTTAATTATGGTGCTTAATCACAGCTTTATGGATAGCTCTTATCAGCTCACAGTTAATGGCATCTTTGCTCTCCAGTGAAAGGTTAATAGCCATATCTGCCCAGAATCCCTTAGAAATAGAACCTATCTTATCTCCAGATTAAATATGAAGAAGCCAGCAGATGAGCCCAAAGGTGAATCTGCTAAAGCAAAAAAGCCACTTGTGAGTTGCTTCAGGGAAAAGTCTTGAATAACTGATTGAATGTCAAGGCCTCCATGGCCACTGAAGGAGTCCCACACAAACAGTTCTAAGGATTTTTCTCCCTACAATAATACCCACTAAGATTATTGCATCTTGTTTCCCAGGAGCTCTGTAGCAATTAACCTCCTCGCCCACTATTCAATGTGGAAATTTACTTGTTCTCTATAGCTCAGGTGACTCACCTGGAACAAGATCCCATCTCATGCTCCAGCTGCCCAGACTGTGACTCCTCCTGTTTCTCCATCATTATCTTCACCTTAATGAACTCACCCTGCTCCTGGCAAAATCTCTCCTACCCAGCCCCTTCCAGCTGGAGCAGTCTCAAGGAAAGGAATTCTGTTCTCACCCTCCCTTCGTTCCTTTGCTATGACATGTCAGAAGTGTTTGGAGTTGTTTTATCAGGAATTATTAATAAATCTGGTTTATACTCTAAATCCCCACCTCATCTCTCTCTGTATCACGGGCTTCTCTCGCTGCAGCCTCCTCGCACTTGCTCTCCCTTGCCATCATGCAGCAGAACTGACGTTCCCCAGGCACCATTTCCTGTGGGACCCCCACTTCACACTCATCTTTGCATGGACTGATGTAGCTCCCTGCATCCCCAGGGACTCTGTCTGCTGCCCACAGTCACCACACGTGGCTTCTCTGTTGTAGTTCTTGGAGGACAGCCTAGAAAAACTTTGTTTTAATTTTTTTAATAAGGCATAATAGTTCCTATTGAATTTCTCCCCTGCAAGCACACTGGCACAAGCAGGGCAGCAGAGCCAGTACACAAGTTTCACCTCACTGCACACTGAGCAGCCGCTTGGATTGGCATCCATGGAGCCTGTGGTAGAGAAGAACTTTACTTCACAATCAGTTCACCCACAAACATCTACCACAACACTCACAGCATGCCCTGTTCCTCGGGGAGGCCAGTTCTGGGCTTAGCCCAGCAATCAGACCTGTAACTCTTATGTCCCCTGGCATTCCTACACGGAGCAAGTGGCGTAACACCAAGTTCTTAAAGCCTCTCTGCTTCTCTACCTCCTGCTTCTCTACTTCCCAATTATCTTGTTTTTCCTCTCCCCAGTTCCCCTGCTTTTGTCACAAACTCCTAATGGACAGGAACAAAGCTGTGTATAAGGATTTCATATTCACTTCATAGTTAAGGACATGTTTCAGACAAAGCACTCCCACAACCTTTACTCAGGTGGTCAGGAAAAGCAAGTTTTGGCTCCTTGTAAGTCCCAAACATGCAATTTTCCTCACTTTTGACTCTCACACACTCATTCTCCACAAGGCAGACAAATTCCCATTGCTGTTTCTTTATTGTAAGTCTTCAATAAAGGACAAAGCATAAAAATAATGGAGAGAAACCCCGGACAAGGCAAGGACAAACGATATCAACAGCTGCACAAGAAATCTGTCATTTTATGAACCATAAAAGAGGATGGAGGTTTTATTCATTTTGAAAGTAACAGTAATGACATTATTGCAGGTACTTGAACAGTGTGTGTGGTGCAGTGTACACAGAACTGCTGGTTTATGGCACTTGGAAGAAAACTGGATTGCAGCAATACAGGTAGTGCTTTGAAAGGAACAATTGTAAGCACCATGAACATGAGATTTGCTTGCTGGCATCAACAAATCCTGAGAGAGACAGCAGAACTGAGGTCACCAACATAAAGTTGTGCCCCATACAACAACAAAAAATCGACCTTAAAGACATTAGTCCCACACCAGCTCATCACTACAGCACAGTGTATCGGTGAGGAAGGACTCTGCCATAAGCACAGCAGTGATTTCCCAAGACACTAGGGCACACCTACAGTGTAAGGGGCTTCACTTAGGGGGGCCCAATCTTGACAGTTTTAGCCTTAAGTTCATCAGTTTTGGCAACTGTCAATTAAGGCATCTATAGGAGTTATGATTTGTTACTTTTTAAAAGCAGCTTGCTGAGCTGCAAACAGGCAGGACATGCAACTGGCACTCCTACAAATGCTTCATGAATTAAATCCTCTTCCTAGGACACCTCCAATTGCAAAACTAACGCTGGTTCAGTCAATAAGGACGGCAGTAGCACTCCTGTGCTAAACTAGCCCTCCCCATTAGGATTTCTGTGGGAGCTTGGTCTGGCGTGTGACACTTGTAGGATTTTTACTGGCAACATTCTGATCCAGAGCATGGATCTTCCTCCTCAGCAGTACACTGTTGGGCACCTCTGCTTCAGTCTGGCTCTGCAGGCTTCAATCCATACCTCAACCACACTGAAATCTCAACACTGCAGTACTCAAGACTGTTTGGCAATTAAACCAGAACTCAGTCCTCTCTCCCCCTTAAAAGCATGTCACAGTGCCTTCTCCAAACCCCAAACACTACACCAGCCTTGCAAACAGCCCACAACAGCTTGGTTGGCTTCTGGGTCTCTTGGGTTTTCTCTGATAGATGAGCCAACACAATGTTGAGGAGGCATTCACACCTGCAAATCAGGTTCCTCCTGTAGTCAGAGCCGTGATTTCCAAATATTTGGCATTTAAAAGTTAGTAGGGACAAGTAGGGTGCCCCTCCCACACTAATCTGTCCTTTGAGGGAAGAATAAAGGGCAGTCTTCAGGTGGACACTGCTGTGATGGTCAATTCCTTGTTGCTAAGTTGCTGCTCAGTCTTTTGCAGGGGATGGGGGACCATCTTGGAAATGATTGTAGTCATGTTTTGAGTCCCAGATTTGAATCCACCTAGGAAAGAACAAACAGAACCTTTGAAGGCACACTGGGATGTCGCTGAATTAAGTGAGTTTTAAAGTTTCAAAGGAACAGAATGAAATGACCCTGCCAACAGCTGTTGCACTTCTACTGCAAATCCCAACACATTCCTTCTCCCAGAACCTACCATGGGATGTTTTCTATCACAATACAACTTTTGCTTTAACAACTAAAGAAATGACAGGAAGAGAGACTGCTGAGAGCTCCATCTCTTCCATAAAGGAGGACTTTCAAATTCAGCTCCAGATTTTGGATTCCACTGAGGGTGGAGTGAAACTTCGAAGCATTCTGAATATTTGCAGCTACATTACTCAGGCTGCAGGTTTATCCCTAGGACTCATATTCCAGAAGAAATGACCTGCATTTCTGTTTACTGGGGTACCAAACACTCTCTCATAAGCTCAACTGAAAATATGCCTTAAAAACTGTCTCTCCTAAGAAGAGTAAATAATATTTTCCACGTGACATTTCATAGGTCCTGTGGCAAAGTTCAGAAATTTGAACTAAATTACCCAATAATAGCTGCTGGAATAAGAAGGACTATAGCCCCGAAGAGAAACGGGAATCCCCTCATGAAGTGCAAGGTCGCAGGGTAGAGAGAGTTGAACACTCCTGTAGCCACGAGGGAACACAGCCCTTGCACGCAGGCAACAGAAGCAAAGAGAGCACCTGGAAAAGAGGTAAGAGATTAGTGGCGAGATAGGCAGGTGGTTAATGCCTGCAAATGGCTTTAACACGTCACCTTCAGAGGGATTCTGTGAATCTTCCTAAGGGTTTGCACTTCCCATCAGAAAACAGGTGTGGGAGCATCAAGCTGGGACACAGAGTTGGCCTGGTAGGTTAAACCTGTCCCACTTGCTTCTCTGTAGCCAGGACCATCTCACTGACCATCTCAGACCTGGGCTGACCAGGGATATTATCTATCAGCTGGATTGCGAATGCTTCAGACTAGGGCTGCATAGATCTGTCTACTGAGAAGCATATCTTATCACTTGTTAAACATTAAGTACAGCAGAAGACAGCAATTTATAGATTTAGCATCATAATCAGCTGTTGAAAACACGCCATCTTCATTCTAAAATAAGAAACATGAATTGTACAAAATCCCCTATTGATTGTTCCTATCTCAACTCCCTCCTCCCTCTGCCTCAGAGACATTCCTATGTCATGTTTCACAGCATGTGCACGATCTCCAAGTTCATTACTGGACAAAAGGCAAACATGCTCCTCCTACAGGTTATCCATGATCTTTTACCATGGTCAATGATATAACCCTCCAACAACATCTGGTTCTTCCCACTGTTACTGATCTACAGAGAAAAGTTATGGTCAGGAGAATCACTCTTTTCTCCCTGTTATATAACCCATTTTAACTCTTGCTCCTTGTAAACCTTTTGGAGATGAACAGATAGATGAATGAACCATTCCTGCAAATTCTTTTCATCTTGCTTTTCCTTGTCCTCATCTTGAAAACGCAGCAAGTGTAAATCAATGAATGACAATTATTCTGAAAAAAAATAAAATGCTGCCCTGGGTCTGAAAGTGAGTGCAAAGACATAAGAGTCCAGAGAAATCACAGAAGTCTTAACCTCCTCAAACATTTTTGTTTCAGTGTTCCAAGAAGGCAGTGCTTCAGGACCTGGCTTAAGCACACCAGCTAACTCCTTACCCTGTTCTGTCTCACTGACCAGCTTGGAGAGCTTGGATCTGATGACTGGAGTGGCTGCCATGGAAAGGAACAGAATCCCATAACCTGTGAGCAAGATACAGCACATTAGGGAAAGCCCAGTTGAAAAATAAAGTCTCCAAAGTCAGTCCCAGAAATCTGTAGCTGCAGGTAGTTTCTCCCTGCTGTATTTAGACCCAGTTCATCCTCCTAGATCCTATAATGAACTTTAGCCTGTGTCTGCAGTGTAATACAGCTCCGGGAAACCTAATATTCTAGGAAATGTGGATTTAAGAATTCAGCATCACCTGTAAACATCAGTGCTGTTGTGGTAGCGAGAGAAATCACAACTAGTCCAGCAATGTTGGAGATCAAGCCTATCTCCGCCACCCAAGTGTCTTCAAGGCAGAGCTGCAGCAGCCGCAGCCCTGCCAGGCTGCTCAGGTAAGCCAGGTAGTTGGCGGCGGAGCCGTACCCGATGAGGTCAGAAGCCCAGCAGAGAGGGAAGCCAAGCTCATACAAAACAAAGAGGTCCTTGGCTCCAAAATGCACTGTGACAAGAAGGAAAAAAGCCAGGGAGTAAAGAGCGAGCTTCCACCTGGAGCTCGGGTGCTCTGGGGCCATGTACAGCCTGAACACGGCCTTGTAATGGCTGAGCGTGAACAGCCTGGCCGGTCTCCTCTGCTTCACTGACTCCTGAAGGCAGAAAGCAGCGTAGAGAGTGGCAGCAAGAGCGGCAGCAAAGGCGAGCCAGAAGGGGTTGATGTAGCCCTGGGCCTTGCGCCACTGGCCGCCACCGATGCTGGCCAGCATGCCCGCGGTGCCCAGGCACGCCTCGAGGATGGCCACCCGGAACGTCCGCGTGCGCCTGTCACTGGTGTCGGCCACGTAGGCAAAGCAGCTGGCCAGGATCAGGTTGTAGTCTCCCGTCAGGCCACTCAGAAGGCGTCCCAGGAGAAAGTAGGCGACGTGCAGCTCCAGGTACATGACGAGCAGGTAGATGGCCGTTTGCAGGGCCAGGCCCGCTGCCGGCAGGATGAGCGCCGGACGGCGGCCCACGCTGTCGCTCCATGGTCCAAAGAGAGTCACGGAGAAGAGACTGACAAAGAAGCCCCCAGGTTGATGTAGAGGTTCCAGTGGGAGACCAGGGCTTCCACCTCCTGCAAGAGAAACAGGTGGCTGAGGACTCTCAACAGCACCCAGTGCCACCCTGGGCTCTCCACTCCCCCGCTCTCCCCAAGCTGTCCTTCCCCTCCGGGCTCCCTGCTCCCCTGGGGTCTCCACTCTCTCCACGGACACCCCACTCCTCCCGAGCTCCCCTCTCCCCCTGCTCCTCCCTGCTCCCAGGGCCTCCCTGCACCCCCAGGGCTCCTCTCAGACACCCTGCTCCTTTCAGGCTCCTGGTTTACCCGCTCACCAGTCCCCTTTCCCCCAGGACTCCCCCGGGGGTCTCCTCTCCCCCCAATTCCCCATCTACCCCTGGAGCTCCCCTTTCCCCCGCTCCCCTTCCCTGTTCCTCCCTGGTCCCCCAGGGCTCCCTGAGGACTCCCTGAGGACTCCTTTGTCCCCCCTCCTCCCCGGTGCCCCCTCACCTGTCGCAGCGGGTCGGGGGCAGCGCTGCTGTTCCCGCAGCCGGCGGAGCCGCTGCTGTTGTGGCCGTGGTAGCCGCGCTCGGCGCCCAGCCGGTCCCACAGGTACTGAGTGGCGAGCGGGCCCTGCAGCCCCACGGACACGGTGGCCAGGAACAGCAGCGGCTCGGCCGCGGGCAGCAGCGGCGGGCACAGGCGGCGGCGGGCGGGGAGCGGCGGCGGCGGCGGCTCGGCCATGGCAGCCATGGCAGGGCGGGAGCGGCGCGGCCCGGCCGGGTCGGGACAGGCTCCGCTCCGCCCGGGCCGGGCCCCTCCGCTCCGCCCCGCCGCCCGCGGTAACCGGGGGGGTTCTGCGAGTCCCCGGGATCCCTCGGCGCTGCCGCTGCAGCGAGTCCCGTGATACAGATACAGCGTTCAGCACACACACACACAACACACCACCCCACCCCCGCCCGCCGCGTGTTGTTTCATAGAATTGTTGAGGTGGGAAAAGCCTTCTAAGCTCATCGAGACCGACGTTAACCCAGCACGGCCAAGGCCACCACTAGAGCATGTCCCCAGGTGCCGCATCCACACTCTTAAATCCCTCTAGGGATGGTAGCTCCGCTGCTGCCCTGGGCAGCCTCTGCCAGGGCTGGACAACCCTCTCCGTGAAGGATTTTTCCCTAGGATCCAATCCAAACCCCCATGGCATGGCTTCATGCCGCTCCTTCAGGTCCCGTCGCTGGTCACCAGACAGGAGGGAACAGCCCCTGCCCCTCCTGTGCCCCTCGTGAGGAAGCTGCAGATTGACCGCGATGAGGGCTCCCCTTGGCCTCCTCCAGGCTAAACAAAACGAGTGACCTCAGCCACCCCATGTGCAGCTTCCCCTCTGACCCTGATAAAGTCCCTTCGAGGCTCCTCTTCTCCAGGCTGAGCCCCCGCCCAGCTGCCTCAGCCACTCCTCATCAGACTTGTGCTCCAGACCCTTCCCCAGCTCCGTTCCCTTCTCCGGACACACTCCAGCGCCCCAATGTCTCTCTTGTTGTGAGGAGCCCAAAACTGAACACAGGATTCGAGGTCTGCCCTAGTCCTGCTGGCCACACTATTGCTGGTACAAGCCAGGCTGCCCTTGCCCGTGGCCCTGGGCACACACTGGCTCAAGTTCAGCTGTCAGCCAGCAACCCCAGGTCCTTTTCTACTGGGCCACTTCCCAGCCACTCTGCCCCAAACCTGATGGTTGAAGAAATTTAAACATAATTTAAACATAAACACAGTTTTTTCTTCTCTCCAAACAAAGCAAAAGTCAACATTTTACATGCAGTCAGATCTGTGAAATGTTGTAGTTAGCAATATGTGATCACTTCTACTAATTCACAGCACATTAGAGAACACTTCATTTTATAAAGGACAAAATAACTCGGAAGCTCAGTTAATAGAAGAGGCTTTGGCTGTGCTGTTTGGTTTCCTGTGAGGTTTGGTCTGCCTCAAAGAGCAGATCAGTAAGCAAAGACCAAGTTGCTGTTTAAATTCAAAGCACACGATTCAGAGTGTTAGATTAACCCATTTATATAAACTGTTCCAAACTAACGTAAATTGGCATGGCTCCTTTGACAACACCAAGGGACTGTTAATGGGCAACAGGCAAAGCTCAAACGAGACAAACCATAACACACTTAGACAGCTCATTTTTATCGTCTTTGCAGGTATCATGACTCACACGACAGAGGAAACCATCGCTGAGGACGTGTTGCTTCTGAAGAACAGGCACAATTCATCACCTGAGACTCTTCCACGTTGTTATTTACACCCCATAGATGAGACTGCAGCTGGAGGCCAACCTTCATGTTACAGAGATGCAAAAACGATGTGTTCTTTTAGATTTTCAATGCAACCTTAGGGCATAAGAGTAAAAATAAAAAGTAGGAAAAAATACCTTGCTGTCGGCTGATTTTGCCACTGCACCTTTTAAGACACTAATTAAACATTAGATAGATGCAAAAATGTGAGGGAATATAATTCATTTGAAAGCTCTTTCTCATTCTTTTTGTGCTGAGGGTGAAATGCTAAAGCTCTCTTTGTTGTGAGCAATATGCCCAAGTTGAGCTTGCAGCTCTGGCAACTGAAACCCCGCTGGTTTTCCATCATAAGCACATTGTTGAAAGAAAACAAGCCCTGGCAGAAAAGGGATGAGAGAGAGAGAAACAGCAGAAGCTTTTTGTGGAGCTGACATCAGATGACCTACTGTCTGTGCTTTCCTTTTTGTCTCTCTGCTTGAGTAAGCTATAAACAGTGCCAAGACAATTTATACCAATAAAATGGAAATGTTATAATCTTTAGCTGAGGGATGCGATTGTACAATCTACCAAATAAAGCCATCAAAGTGACAATAAAAAGACACTCCCTTTGGAATTAAAAACTTTGGTTCCATTCCTGCGTATTTACAGATGCAAGTAATTCACAGCTTATATTTGGGAGGTTTTCTGCAACTGGGACAAGAATTGCTGGTAATTTCCCTGTAGCACCTTTCTTTTCTTTACTTTTTTTGCCCCCAATACATCCTCCAAGTTCCCAAAGCTGTGCCTATAAACCTACAAGAGCTGAAAGGTGAAACAAAAAAGCCCAGTGTCTGCAAAGTGATGCTCTATAGCCAAGTCTCTCCAGGTCCACTAAGATCTAAAGTAAGGACTGTCAGTCTCTGTGTGCCAGGAACTTGATGTAGCACCTGGTGACAGGAGCTCTGCCCAGTGGATTTTGCTGCCCAGACTGAATTTCTTAGTGAACACAATGAATGTTTATATAACATTTTGCATAGTTGTTTCTAATCCCTGTATCGGATTATTGGAGATGCAGATGTGGTTTTCAGTGATCTACATATTTTTGAAGCAATTTTCAACCCATTTTGGAGGGAGTAGTTTCCCTTCTTTTAGAGGAGGAATGACAGTACCTATTCAAAGATGATATTATTAAAGTCAAAACCATAAATATTACAAAAAAATAGGTAATTTCAGTTGGCTTTTAATAATTTTACTTGGTCCACAAGGAGTTAATTCTGTCCTGGACTGAGCACCTTTCAGGAAGATTTAAGAAAGTTCCTGGTCTGACACTCTTTTGCTGTCCCCTCCCTTCTTTGTTCTCTTCCTTCTTTCTCCGATTACAGTTCCAAAATCAACACCCAATCTCCTGAGGTCAATGGTTAATATTCCCCAGTGTTTATATAGTCTCCAGCAGCAGATCCCAGGCCTTTCAGCACCGGGCTAGCTCCAGCACCATGGCTGGCATCTTGGAGGTGATCCTGGCCATCAGGAAATACCTCATCATAATTTTAGTACCCCTTCTCGCTCTTGCTCTTCCTCTGGCAGTGCCTACCAAGGTAAGAATTTTTAAGTTCAATTTAAAAGCCAAATCTCTGCATCTCAGAGCTGCTCCTTGTAAGTGATAGAGGGAGCAGACCATACAGATTCTTTCTCAGAGAACATTTATTGCTTGAAGATCTCTTCTGTTTTTCCTGATCGAACATCTGCATTGGGGCAATATAAAAGCAATGATGGATGAACAGATACATCTGTGATTGCATGTTCTAGAAGAACACTCACTGACATGAGATTTGTGACTTTTGCTTTGCATCTGATTGATTTAGCAAAGGACTTTCTATGCTGAAGATTTTATGTGTGAACCTAAGTTCCAATCTAAGGTTCAATTTTAATCCCCCTTCTGATTTTCTAACAGTATCCAGTCCACGTTTTCTTTTTCCTTGTGTTGTCACTGCCACATAGAAGAAGCATTTTCCTTGGTCAGATGGACAAGACATTCTGACACATAAGGAAAAATGCTATGTATTTCACTCTTGTTTTAGCATATTTCTGTAAGAATCTTGCCAAACTAGGATTTTAAATTTAAAATGCCAAGTTTTGGAAGACTTACTTACGTACCTTCAGAAGTTAACTACCAGCAGCTGTAGTAGTGGGGCAGGTATTGCTGGGACATTGATCATTTTGATCACTGATCTGGGACATTGATCACTGATCATTTACACAGAGCTCTGTGAGCCAGCAGCCTGCCAGCCTTCTGCTGCTTCTTCACTCTGGCATGTTTCTCACACTCCCAATCTCTTTGCACAGAAATATCTCATCTCTGGCCTTCAGGTCTCTGATTACAGCCCCAGTATCTTGAAATAACTCATCCCAATCTGCCTCTCCTGTCACTGCTCTTTGGACATCAAGTCGTAGCTCTTCCCTCTGGTCTCTGCCTGTGCCTGTCTCCTGATCCCTGCTGACTCCCAGTTGATAGTCTCCTTCTCCAAGTTTCCTTCTCCACTTCACTAACTGTTCCCTGCCTGTCTCAAATCTCTTTCTTCCTCACAGCTCTGAGTGTTATCAGAGACTTTGGAGCTCTGACTGGAGGACTGCGAGCGTGAATGATAGAGTGGCACTGGCTGGAGGTGCAATGTGGTAACTGTTCAGGCGTGGCACCTAAGCAAATAAAATAGTTTAAATTATTACTTGAAAGCTTACTAGGAAGAAAAACAGAAAAAGTACCTTTTTTTTTAAAGTCAACTTTTCATAGGCAAAAGAGTTACTGAAGGGAAAAGAGATCTGGATCAGAAGAGTTCTAAGAAGCCAGACAGAGATTTTTTTTTTTTTTAATCTTGAGCCCACAAGTTCAAGATCACTTGCTGGAGGCATTGTTACATACAGTAAGTCCATGGTGTTACCTGTGGAATGATCTGGCAGTCTTGGGTCAGTTCCTCTGTGAAAATGACTCTCTCTGGTTTCTATGTAGTCAGCAAGAACACAGAAATTTAAAACAGCCTGGACTTTTCCCTTTGCAACGTGTAAGAAGATTGTTTGGGTTAGAATTGTGCACCCTGGCAATGCTGAGCAGGAAAAGCTGGTGCCTCCACATGCAGCAGTGATGTGAGCAGGCAGCTCACAGGATGGAATTTCACATTTTTCTATTCTGTTGTGCTATTAACCTGCCCTATAATGACAGAGCAGTGGACACCAAACTATTATAATTGAGAGCAAAAATGCTAAAAATTTTACTTAAAGACAGACAAATGTCCTTACAGGAAAACTGACTTTGTGAAAAGGTTTTTTCCCACTTTTACTGATTTCCCACAGCAGGATGGAAGCCAGTAACACTGTGCCTATGAGATATATCCCAGAGCATGCTAGAGTCTCTCAGAAGGCACCCATTGGTGTCTTTTAAGAACAAAAATGGATAAAAAGGGTCATCAAAATGAAGAATTTCTTTCAGTGCTTTATGGAATGGATAATTAAGGTTCTTACTGCTCTCACTCAAAAATAAGGCTCAAAAAGGCATATTTTCATCTCTTCTTGAATCTTTTCATATTTACTTCTCAAACCTGGCTGCTTTGGTAATTCATCACCTAGATTGCTGTTTTCCTGTTTCCTGTAGAATCCTGAGCTACCCCCTTCATCCCCTTCACCAGCTCCATAACCTCCATGCCACGGTCAGAAGTCCTGAACATGTTCTAAAGCAACACAAATTCTACCAGCCATTATTCCAGCTCCTTGTTTTAATCCTCTGTAATCCAGCTTCGATAAGCATTACTACGATTTCATTCATACTGTCCAGTGTATTTTAGTGGTCATTCTTTATCCAAGGCCAAACAACCACGTTTTGCTTCCTTTGGATTTGCTGTCACTCATTATTGTGTGAGTTCCAAAATGAGGAAGACACCACAGTCTGCAATATTACTTCTTCTTACTTTCATCCCCAGCCCAACCATATGAAAATCTGTTGTGAGAAGTAATTCTGAATCTCACTGTCTTAAACATTTTTATATAAAATTTGGAGGAGTTGCCCAAAGCTGAACTAAATAAATGTTTTCTCGGAAGACGAGTAAAATGAAATAGGGGATCATACTTGTCAAACAAACAAGTCAGTGAAAGCTGAAAGGACCTGTGACCAGTCTGTCAGTGAGCCTTTCAAAACCTCTACTAAGCTAAAAATCCAATGAAAAATTGTAGAAGTATTTACAGTACAAGGAATCTTGAGATTAGCTGGGGTTCACCTGTGCCATATCCCGGAACACGCTGAGCAAAAGGTGAAGAAGCCTTTACTGGATCATAACTATTTCTGCAACTCAAGGACATAAATACAGAATATAACACTATCAGCATAATCAGGAATCCCTTATCATGAAAGGTTCAAAGTCATCCATTTGTTTCTTTTCCTAAGTTACTATTTTTTCACCCCCTGGAGGTTTCATCTACTCCTTGGAGTTCTGACAAGGTTGTTGAACAGTTTGTTATTTGATTAAAATCTGCATAGTTCAGAGGATACATGGGAGACAGGAAATAACCTTTTCTCTAATCCCTTTATCAGGTAATTAATGTAATTATGGGCTGTTGCCTTCTGAAAGCCCAAGTGCCATGTACAGTGTGTTCTGATCGTGTCTCCTCTTCCCCTCTTGCCCCCCAGGAGGCAGAATGCGGTTATGTTATCATAGTGATGGCACTTTTATGGTGCACAGAAGCCCTGCCATTGGCTGTCACAGCTCTCCTGCCTGTCCTGCTGTTCCCGCTAATGAATATCATGGATTCAACAACAGTAAGAGATACTACCCCATTGACATTGGCCTATGTGTTAATCAGTCATTAATAAGCTTCTCTTATTCGGGGATTATTTCCTATTATTACTATTGTTGTTGTTGTTGTTGTTGTTATTATTATTATTACTATTCCAATGCTGTTACACAGAGAATTGGCTGTCTTCTTCACAGAATAGAACTTGCACAAGCCCAGAGTGAGCTCTGGGTGGAGCTGCTCATCTGAAATCAAAACAAATTCACTGTTCAGATGCAACCCAGAGTTACTCTGTGTTGATGGCTTTGGAACAACCTCCCTCAGAAAGTGCCTGCTCTCTTGGCTTCTAGTGACTGTTTTCTCTCCCTTGTTCCACGTTACAGGTCTGTCGGGAATATTTAAAGGACACGAACATGCTCTTTATAGGGGGACTGGTGATGGCCATTGCCATTGAGCAATGGAACCTACACAAGCGTGTGGCCCTGAAGGTCTTGCTTCTCACTGGTGTCAGACCAGCCCTGTGAGTAACAGTCCTGAAAACACCATGGGATAAAGGACTTTAAGGCATTAGTCCCCATCTCCTATGGGAATCTGCAAATCATACCCTACAAATGCTTTCCTGCAGTCCAAGGGAGTTAGTGCCTGAGCTAACCTTGCAAGTGGGGATCCTCTGATGACTTACAGACCTTGTGTGCCTTTTCTTGAATTCCAAATGCCTTTAGGTGGAGAAATAGCAACAAGAGAGTCAATGCTGGTAAGACACAGGTTCAAACAGTCAGGAAAGAGCACAGAGGAAAGACAGAAAACATGGACTGTCTGCCTGCTCCACTGATTGCCAAGAGAAGAGAAAACCTGAGAATGCTTCTTTGGAAAACAACAAGTGTTTTCCAGACTAACTCTAAGCTATGCAGAGGCTGCATCCCCCTATTTAATCTCTCTTAGCTCCTAACAAGAGGGAATGCTGAAGGAAATTACAAAGCAATAGAATAAAAATGCATACAAGATAAATCCCTTTCCATCTCATATATAATCTACATCTCATCTACAGAATAATTCTGAGGCAAATCACAGAGTAATACTGAACCGAGGATTAGAATTTTAGATGCGTAAGAAGAGAATCTTAAATAATAGAGGTGGGATAAAATTAGAGAAAAATAAGGATCCTCATCCTTATGGTTTAAACTGATTGCCATTTGGAATCAAATTCAGCTTGTAATTCCCCTTTAAAAGATATTATAATGCATTAACATGTGTTATTGAGATGGCACGTCTTCCTCGGAAGCATGCGGAATAAGCAGGACCTGAGTAGGTAAATTGTTTGATCCAAGCTACCAGGTTCCAATTTGCAGTCATAGGAATGTAAAGAATTGGTTGAAATTGGAAAAAAGTAAAATTAATGTTGCATCTCACTGTGTTATTCACAAAGTGGATCAGGGTAAGAGGAAGTGCTGGGTGGGAATTGCTGAGCATGTTCCAAACCCAGCACTTGCAGTTGAATCTTTGCAACAAAAATAGAACATTGCAGTGCCGAGTTTGGATCCAGCTTTTCCAACCCTTCTCATTCCAGACTTCTCATGGGTTTCATGGTCGTGACTGCCTTCCTGTCGATGTGGATCAGCAACACAGCCACCACTGCCGTGATGGTCCCCATAGCACAGGCAGTGCTGGATCAGCTGCACAGGTCAGAACTGGAATCCAGTGATGCTGGCCAAGCGTCTGAAAACATCAACAAAGCCTTTGAGCTGCAGGAAGGGTCAACTCCACCTGTTAACTCAAAAGAGAAAGAGGAAAAAGGTGAGTGGGTTCTGGCTGGCTTTCTCTTTGGGGGGATGGAGGATGACCTGAGGCCTTCTTCACTGTCATAAGGGCTGCCAGTTAATTCTAAAAGAACACACCTCAAGCATCCTGACTGCATCACACAGCATTGATGAAGTTCTTGCATCAACCACACAAAACCACCATAAGATCTATTGACCTGACTGAAGTTGGAAATAGATCTAAAAATATGAAGAGATGATAAATAATCAGTAATCCAACAACAGGAATACATTCTCCATTGGCTGAAGCTTTTACATGAGGCTTGATATTTTTATGAATCTTTGCCTTATTTCAATTATTGCCTACTGTCTAACTGATCAGATAATATTGAATTCCCATGGGAAAATTCCTGACCTACTTCAAGCCAGAAGGGTAGAGATTAAAATGATCTTTCTAATCCAAAGATACACAATCAAGCAATAATATCTCTTTACCAGCTGTCTTGCCCTCCCCTCATGTTTGACATGACACCACTGTTTCTGTAAGTCCCAGGGCCAGCAGTCAGGTGCGGGTACAGAACAAGTTCCCTTCAGCCCAGCTCCTCTGGCTCTGCTGGAACTCCCTGAATTCTCATCTCTCTGCACTCCATGTGCAGTTCAGACATCACCCTAGTTCACCAAGAAGTGTTAGCCAAATGGGCAGAAGATCAAAAATGTAACAATGCCGGTCTTAAAATGAGGACATTTGGTTTCTTCAGCTTTGAGTCCATTGTGTCCTAGCCTTGAAATACTGAGCTGTGCAGGCACAGTATCTTTTCCTGTCCAACCAAGCTTCTGCATCTCTTTTGTTCCTTGGGACCCAGATAATACTCATGTCCTGATGATTGAGGAGGACAGAAAGAGAAATGAAGCTCTGCTAGAGGCGAAACACTTGAAACTGTGCAAGGGAATGTCTCTCTGTATTTGTTACTCATCCAGTATTGGAGGGATTGCAACTCTGACTGGGACAACACCAAATCTGGTACTGCAAGGACAAATTAATGAGTAAGTCATAGTACCTCCCCTGTTCTAATTCATTAAGTAAATACAGAAGAGAATGTGTAATTTTGGATGCTAACAGCCACCTGCATTTTACAGCCTCTATGAAGATAATGGTGGTGTCATCAACTTTGCCTCCTGGTTCTCCTTTGCCTTCCCCACCATGGTTGTGCTGCTGGTTTTGGCATGGATTTGGCTAGAGATACTGTACTTGGGCTTTAAGTGAGTACCCTTCACCCTCTGCAGTCCAGCTGGTGGGCCTGTGAGCAAGGACTCATTGCACAAGTAATCCTTTTATTGGTGGGGAAAGTCACACAGCAAGCGACGAATTCCTCACATAGAGACAAGTGAAACAACCCAGTCTGTCTGTTAAAATACTGCAGCTTTTTCTCTGAGGAATCTGGTCAAATCCCAGCTAAATGCACTCTGTAGGTACAAATAGGAAGTTCTAACATCATATGACCTGTTCTGTGGCAATGTTGTCATGTCCTAAGAGATTGCTGTGCTTCAAAGCAGGAAGTGCCTTTGTGACAAGTGTTGTTTCAGACCTAGAGGATTAGTCTTGTGCTGTTATTTCCAGTACTAATCACCCCAGCTTACATTACCTACCTGTTTAATACTTAGTCTGTCAAGTTTGTGTTATCCCCAAATTCCCTTGTTTTACATGGAAAGAGTACTGCAATACCTGAAATGGTATTTTCATCTTCAGATTCCTCCCTTAAAATTCTCATTTTCTGTCATTTTAAAAAGCTTGGCAACTCTTTACTTCCTAGTGATCATAATAGCCTTGTCAGTCACACTAACCTTGTCCTGGTCTAGTGGAAGAGGTCCCTGCCCTTGGCAGGGGGTTGCAGTGAGATGGTCTTCAAGGTCCCTTCCAACCCAAACCATTCTGTGATTCTATAGTATTTTCCCCCATGTGCTCAGATAGCACAATCCTTTTTGTATTTAAATCATGAGCTTTTAGGGGCAGGAAGCTGCTTTCTGATCACCTTGGCAAGCCATGGCACAATGCAGTTAGTACCCACCATGGCTGCTGATCTTATGATTATAATATATTTAATTGCAATATTCGTATATCTAAAAGATATTATGACTGAGTATAAAATTTGAATTCTTAACTGAGGTTATCTGGCAAATGTCTCTGATATTTCTTGTCTGTTTTCTTCTAGTTTTAAGGAGAATTTCGGCTGTGTTGCAAGTCCCTCTGCCAAGGCTAAGGAGAAGGAGGCCTATGCCGTCATCAGGGAAGAGAGCAGGAAATTGGGCAGAATGAAATTTGCAGAAATAGCAGTTTTGGTCCTCTTCATACTCATGGTACTGCTCTGGTTTACAAGAGATCCTGGGTTCATACCAGGCTGGGCAACAGTTCTTTTCAACAAAGATAATATAAGGTACTACCACTTTTATTCCTCAATTTGAATAAAATAAGCATGCTGGATTTTATAAAAAAATGAAAACATAGCTGACTAAATATCTGACTGGTCTGTTGCAGGTATGTCACTGATGGTACAGTTGCCATCTTCATTGCAATTTTGTTGTTCATCATCCCTTCTGGCTTTTACAATGCACAAACAGGTGAGTTTACTGAAACATTAACAATCAACTACTGGAATAAGTACATGGGAAGTTTCACATCTGAGGTTTACAAAAGAAATTTCAAATATTAAATAAGATTTCAAACTGCTCTTCCTGCATAGCTACAGCTTTCTGTTGAGGTTAGGCAAGCCACGTATCCCATAAAAGTTCTTTGCTTCTCATTATTCAACTAAGTAGGAGACTCTTATCCCAGCAGTGTTCCTGCCTCCGCTATACACGTGTGTGTATTCTCCTGAGGCTGGAATCTTCAGGAGAGATAATGACTTAACAGAAACACACACAGGTCTGCAGATATGTTGCCTCACTTTTAGCTCACCCCTGCATTGTACTGTGCTTTTGGAAGCAGCTGCAGATCATTCATTAAGTGTCTTTGCCAGTCAAGTTTTAAAACCTTTGTTGGTGAGGTTTTTAGCATTTGCTGTGGGAGGTAATTCCAGGTCTTGCTGACAGAAGGGTTTCCTGATGTTCAGACTAAAGTCATGTCCCACCAAGAAGTTCTCCTTTCTTTGGAAAATGTAATATGACTTACAAAACATTTGGATTTCAGATGGCAGTTCAAAGTTCCAAGCACCTCCACCTCTTCTGGAATGGAAAGTAGTTCATGAGAAAATGCCATGGAGTATTGTGTTTCTGCTGGGAGGTGGCTTTGCCTTAGCCAAAGGCAGTGAGGTAACATTCCTTGGCTTGCCTGGGATTTGTGTCTTCCTATAAATGTAGTATCTTCTTCTTCCAAATTCTCTGAAAGGGAAAGCATGTTCTTTTCTAGGTAACCTAACAAATGATCCTGTCTAGGAAAATTGGCTCTTGCATATCTTTCTGTAGAGAGCAGTTTGTATCAGAACAGCTATGAGAGGGGAAGGTCGAATTGACAGGAGAATTGTAAATGGAATGCAATGTGGTTATTTCCTCTCCAACCTATCCTGACAGCCCTTTATCCTCTGTTGCAGGAATCTGGTCTGTCTACATGGTTAGGTACCCAGACTGACTCCCCTGCAGAGCATCCCTCACCCAGCCATTGCTTTCCTGGTGTGTCTCCTTGTTGCCACTTTCACCGAATGCACCAGCAATGTGGCCACCACCACCCTCTTTCTCCCTATTGTGGCTTCAATGGTAAGTTCCAGCATTTCAAAATAGTCTTATAAGAACAGTTTTCAACTCTTCTCCAAGCATACATCTGCTCAATTGTCAAAATTAACTGGCTGCCATAGCCAAGCACTGGTTTGTGTATCCAAACACAGACACAAGACTTAAAACAAACATATCTGTATCTGTGTGAATGTATTGTATATAAATACACTGTGCCTAGTTCAACCATTCTAAAATCATTGCTGGTGAAGAGTAAAGGGATTAAATTCATTGGCATATTAGACTTTGCCTTCTGGCCTAAACAACCCCATGAGGTCACTGCCAGCTGTACTTGTTTTTTCCAATTTGCTCTGCATGGAGGCAGCAACAGCAGCAGCATTTGCTTCCCTGCAGCATTCCATTCCTGTATTTCACTCTGACCACTGGCCTTCCAGAAGTCTCTGAGGGTGATAGCATGACCTGATTCAGACTTTTTGCATTTCCACTGGAGATTCCTGTTGCTGGGGTAGACAGAGTTCTGCACTGTGAAAAGCTGGTTCCAGATAGAAACTGCAATAAGCTCTTCCAAAATCTTTTTGCATAGGCCACAGACTCCAGCAAACCCCTGAACTGATCCACTTACCTTCAGAGTGTGGGCTGCCCCGTCTCCTCAGATAATTTAATTTTGTTCTTAACCAATTTGAAGCCAATCTACAATTTTTTTCCCAGGGTTTAGAGTTGAATGCAACCATTATTATCCACTTACACAGCAGCATCAGGAACACAAAACCCTGACCACAAAATCAATTCCTGCATTTGTTGCATAAAGACATGGACTAGAAGTGTCTAAAGCAGCACCAAAATGTGTGTGGCTGCAGTGTTTGATGAAGGACGAGGTTTCTGACAGGGACAAATACAATCAGTTGTCTGACAAAAGATTTCTCTGCATTTTTGTGTGTCAAAGCCATCTTCTTTGCTCTCCCTTCCTGCACAGGCTGAAGCCATTTGCCTCAACCCACTCTATGTCATGCTGCCCTGCACACTTTCTGCATCGCTGGCATTCATGCTCCCTGTGGCCACTCCTCCCAACGCCATTGTCTTCTCCTATGGACAGCTCAAGGTTATTGATATGGTGAGGAAAAAACATGTTCTTGTCAGACTTTTCACCTCTAGATTTGATCTTTCTTTTTCTAATATTGGTTCTTCTTGTGGGAGTGTTAGAAAACTCACTGTGCTCAGCTGATGTAAAATGGAAAGAAGACACACGTTGCATTAAGAAAGGGTCACACTGACTCTCATATACACTCAGAGTCTTATAAAGGTGCTATTGAGCTTTTAAAGAACAACCAAGGCCTCTTGTGCCAATGAGAAACAGCAATGTCTAAGGGCTTGAAAAGCCCAAATGTAGAGCATAGAGGTGTCAGAGCCCTGTCATCTGGGCAGTCCTTCTGCATAGACTGGGGACAGTCTGGGACATCTCATGGGGCTACCCTGATGCTCTGAGAAATCACTGTGTTAAAGACAGATGGACACGGAATCCATGTCTCTTGATAACTTTTCTAGTTTATAACTGATCCAAGAAGAATTCCAAAGTAACATTAAGGAAAATGCCAGGTCAGAAGAGAAAGTTCTACATAAGTGAGTTAAAAGGATTTCAGGACTTCTAGTTAAGGAGTTTTATCCAATGGAAACTCATTTCCCCCCACCCAATACAAATTACATTTGTGAAGAAAACCAGCTTAAAATAATTTGATGGACTACTGAAAAAAGGCCAGAGGGAATCTGTCAATACAAACAAGCCCAACCAGCAAGAAAGAAGAGAAAATGCTCAGTTCAACTAACAATGCTTCTTTTTTTAAAATTCTAGGTCAAAGCTGGATTTGTACTCAACATTCTGGGAGTTCTGACAATAACTCTTGCCATCAATACCTGGGCTTCATCTTTGTTCCAGCTACAAACTTTCCCATCTTGGGCAAACAAGACAGGCATGTGCCCATAACGTGGAGAGGCGAAGGAACCAGTGACTGTTCCTGTTAGAGCTGCAATGAGAGCAGGACTGCCATCCAGGCCAGTTTTGCCAAGGCAGTGGTATAGAGACAGGTCTGTTCTGTGGAAAGGGACAAGTCACCTGCAAGCAAAACCACTGTGTTGATAACAGCAATAAAATTGCACAAGAGTGCTGTTAGCTGGCAATTTTGTCACCCCAGCAGTAAGACAACGTAACCTTTGGCTTTTCCGCTGTCCCAGGAACCTTTAGATTTTCTGTCTCCGGAGGGGCATTTTCCCCAACTGCTTTTCCAATCCACCTGTAAAGTCTGAAATCTACCGTGAGAAAAAAGAGAGCTGTTTATATGTATATATATAAAAGGAAGACTCTGTGTTCCTGATTTCATGAATAGATCTGTGTCTTGTCACAACTAGCACAACTATTCATATGTATAGGTGTGTATGTTCTAACTGTACATGATTGTTATATACTCTTATGGGCATTGACAGCATTACAGACGGATCACATACTCTCAGTCACTTCTGTTTTTGAAATATATTTATTTGCAGTCCTCTTGTTATGAATGTAAAAGACTATTTCCCCCCCCATTGTTATTTATATCAGATTACACCCTGCAAGATCATGATAGGACCAGCAATATTCCCTTGAGAAGGAGAGAATCCCTGTGCCCTAAAATAAACATGATTGAATTAAAGTGGTTTTTAAAGTACCCCTGTGTTCTGCATAATTTTTTAATTATATATCACTCCTTCTGTCTTCCATGTATCAACTACTTGTCTGTTTGCTTATTTAAAATATCTTTAAATAATCAGAGAAATCAGCATAATTGTTTTTCTCTTATCTTTAAAATAGTTAATATTTTAGTATTATTATTGACAGTCGAATTTTCTTGGTATGCTAAACCCAAGATTTTCCTTTTAAAAACCATGTAATACTGTTAAATATTTAATCCCTCTTCTGCTGCAACTGACTTTCAGTAGCCCATAAACTCCTAATGACCAAATTGACAAAGCCGCTGGAAAATTCAAAGACACTTTGCTGAAACTGTCTCTTAGTACCATAACTGAGGCTGGGTTCAGACAGAGCAGTTTTTCAACATGTGCCCCTGAGGTTTGCACTGAAATCTTTGTTCTGTTGTTGCCTGCCTAAATTTTGCACAAAGAATGTTGCGTTTTGGAAGTCCCACCCTGGTGGCATCCCCATACTGGTTCCATCAGAGTGAACATGAGGGAATTTCACTCAAAATGACTATGTGCTCTTCAAAATCTTTCTTCTTTCTTTCTCAGTCCTAAATATTAGGAGACAAGGGCAATGTGCAGTGTACATTTGATTTACAAAATGTCTGAATTCACTGACCTCCAGTAGTTTCTTTCCAGTTCCAGGTCTCCAGGCAAATCTGGTGCCTGCTGGTCACTGATCCCTCTTGCACTGGTGGTTTCACTGGCCAATTGCTCTGGGAAACCACTGTCCTGGAAAGAACAGCCTGTTATTAACCATTCTTGGAAGCCTTTTTTGTTAGTCTACTTTATTCCGAGGCTGTGATGAGCTCATAAGAAACTCACATTTCAACCCGGTCTAGTGGAAAGTGCCCCTGCCCATGGTAGGGGTTTGGAACAAAATGATCTTTAAGGTCCCTTCCAACCAAAAACACCCTGAGATTCCATGATTCAAGAACTAAACTTGACTTGTACCCCTAAAGCAGTTTTTCACAATACAACGCTATTAATCCTGATGATGCATCTGTATTTCTCCCACTAATATTGTCAGTGAATATTGGCAAGCTTGGGACAAATGCTGCCCAACATTCTATGGAAGTGGAGAAATGCTAAAAGGGTGTGCATGTATTGGCACTGGCTGCTTATGGAGCACTGCAGTTAGGAAGATCCAAGCACACTCCAAGAAAGAAAGAAGACAGACCAGTTGTACTGGTTATTAGACATAGTTAAGGGGCTAAAAAAATAACCAAAAAACCGACCCAAACCAACACACACACATTTCTGCCAAGCCAGTTATAAGAAGATAATCATGTGCTAGCCTAAGCCTCTGGCAGGAGTAGAACACTGTTAGCTGTCTTCTAGTTAGCTAAATATTAATCATCCTGTTTAGAACCAATCATGTCACTAACTGGCCAGAAACTTGGTTAAAGGTTGTGGTACCAAGAAGGTGTAGTGTTTTCTCTCTACCTGCAGTATTCCTCGACTTCTGCAGAAAATATGATGAGCAAGGTAAATATCAAAGGAATACTCCCATTGTTAGGAAATTTGTAATTTTTTTGAGAGGGATATAGGAGGCCATACCTGATGAGGTCAGAAGCCCAGCAGAGAGGGAAGCCAAGCTCATAGAAAAGCAAGAGGTCCTTGGCTCCAAAATGCACTGTGACAAGAAGGAAAAAAAGGCAGAGAGTAAAGAGAACTTCCACTTGGGCCTTGCACCAGTGACCACCACCGATGCTGGCCAGCATGCCCGCGGTGCCCAGGCACGCCTCGAGGATGGCCACCCGGAACGTCCGCGTGCGCCTGTCACTGGTGTCGGCCACGTAGGCAAAGCAGCTGGCCAGGATCAGGTTGTAGTCTCCCGTCAGGCCACTCAGAAGGCGTCCCAGGAGAAAGTAGGCGACGTGCAGCTCCAGGTACATGACGAGCAGGTAGATGGCCGTTTGCAGGGCCAGGCCCGCTGCCGGCAGGATGAGCGCCGGACGGCGGCCCACGCTGTCGCTCCATGGTCCAAAGAGAGTCACGGAGAAGAGACTGACAAAGAAGCCCCCAGGTTGATGTAGAGGTTCCAGTGGGAGACCAGGGCTTCCACCTCCTGCAAGAGAAACAGGAGACTCTTAACAGCACCCAGTGCCACCCTGGGCTCTCCACTCCCCCCCTCTCCCCAAGCTGTCCTTCCCCTCCAGGCTCCCTGCTCCCCTGGGGTCTCCACTCTCTCCACGGACACCCCACTCCTCCCGAGCTCCCCTCTCCCTGTTCCTCCCTTCTCCCAGGGCCTCCCTGCACCCCCAGGGCTCCTCTTGGACTCTCTGCTCCCTTTGGGCTCCCCTCTCACCTGAGTCCCCCGCTCCCCGGGACTCCTTTGTCCCCCCTCTCCCCGGTGCCCCCTCACCTGTCGCAGCGGGTCGGGGGCAGCGCTGCTGTTCCCGCAGCCGGCGGAGCCGCTGCTGCTGTGGCCGTAGTAGCCACCCTCGGTTCCCAGAGGGTCCCACAGGTACTGAAACAAAGATATTTAGGCAGCACCAAAGTCTGACCAATGTGAAGTCCTTCCTTTTCATTGACAGCACTGGAGATAACCTCCATGAGTGCGTCCAAGGGAATGACAAAAGCAAAAACCTTCTATTCGAAAAAGTCATTACACATTCATGCTAAATCCCACCTTTTCCGCTCCCCCCGCTGTATAGCGCCACTGTAATTATTTCACGGTCTTTGCTGCCATCTATCGTCTTTTTATTACAATTAGTGTCCAGTGTTACACAGTCTTTGTTCCAACAGTACATTAATTCTTAGTAGTGTTGGATGACTTCTTTTCTTCTTGAATAACTCTTTTTTTCTTTTCTTTTTCTTTTTTTCCGCGAATGCTGAATGCTGATTAGTTACTTGTCAGTTGGAAGAGAGATCTCCTACCTACTTGCAAAAGTTCTTTCCTCAACCACCCTTACTTACAAAAATTGTATCCCTTATCTAAGGTCGGGCAATTCTCATCAAGTTAAGCAAAAATGCATACGCTAGAAGTACATCACATAGCTGTAGCCTGAAATAATTCCACACTAATTCTCATGTACTGTTTTCTATTCAAGCGTTAAGGAGGGAGGGGCGGGGGGGCGAACACAACAAAAAAACAACCAAAACCAAATTCATGCTAATAAAGCCAAACTTAATTAGGAATGGGCAGGTTTTAGCGGGCAATGTTTCAGAGTCCCCTTCAGCACGGGGTGGCCGGGAGCGGCAGCGGCTCCGCGGGCGGGGGGGGCGCGGGGGGCGCCGGTTGGCGGCCGATCAACCGCCGTGCCCGTTGCCTCCAGCGGCAGATCCCAGGCCTCTCAGCACTGGGAGAGCTCCGGCAACCATGGCTGGCATCCTGGAGGTGATCCTGGCCTTCAGGAAATCCCTCATCATCGTCACAGTAGTCGTTTTGACCTCTCGCTCTGCCTCTGGCGGTGCCGACCAAGGTAAGGACTTTTTGAATTCCGCATCTCGGAGCTGCTCCTCGTAAGTGACAGAGGGAGCAGACCGGGCAGATTCTTCCTGGGAGAACCTTCATTTATTGCTTGAAGATCTCTTCTGTTTTTTCTGATCAGACACCTACATATTTTGGGGCAATATAAAAGCAATGACGGATGAACAGATACAACAGTGACTGCATCTTCAAGGAGAACACTCAGTGCCATGTGATTTGTGACTTTTGCTTTGCATCTGACTGATTTAGCAAAGGACTTTCTATGCTGAAGATTATATATATATGTGTGAACCTAAATTTCAATCTAAGGTTCAATTTCAATCCCCTTCTGATTTTCTAAGAGTATCCAGTTCACATCTTCTTTTTCCTATTTCCTTCTCCAACCTCTCTGCTTTCCTCTAATCCCTTTATTAGGCAATGAATGTAATTATGTGCCGTTGCCTTCTGAAAGGCAGAGTGCTCTGATAATGTCTCGTCTCCCCCTCTTGCCCCCCAGGAGGCCAAATGTGGTTATGTTATCATAGTGATGGCAGTTTTCTGGTGCACAGAAGCCCTGCCATTGGCTGTCACAGCACTCCTGCCTGTCCTGCTGTTCCCACTAATGAATATCATGGATGCAAACACAGTAAGAGATCTTACTTCATGTGCTATGTATTAATCAGTCAGCTTCTCTTATTCTGGGATTATTTTTCAGAAAATAATAATATTAATATTAACAATAACAAGACTAATAATGATAATTAGTAATAGTAGTATTACTGCTACTACTATTACTATTCCACTGCTGTTACACAGAGAATTGGCTGTCTTCACTGTGGAATAGAATTTACACAAGCCCAGAGTGAGCTCTGGGTGGAGCTGCTCATCTGAAATCAAAGCAAATTCACTGTTCAGATGCAACTCAGAGTTACTCTGTGTTGATGGCTTTGGAACAACCTCCCTCAGAAAATGCCTGCTCTCTTGGCTTCTTGTGACTGTTTTCTCTCCCTTGTTCCACGTTACAGGTCTGTCGGGAATATTTAAAGAACACCAATATGCTTTTTGTTGGGGGGCTGCTGGTGGCCATTGCCATTGAGCACTGGCACCTACACAAGCGTATGGCTCTCCGGGTCTTGCTTCTCACTGGTGTCAGACCAGCCCTGTGAGTAACAGTCCTGAAAACACCATGGGATAAAGGACTTTAAGGCATTAGTCCCCATCTCCTATGTGAGTCTGCAAATCATACCCTACAAATGCTTTCCTGCAGTCCAAGGGAGTTAGTGCCTGAGCTAACCTTGCAAGTGGGGATCCTCTGATGACTTACAGACCTGGTGTGCCTTTTCTTGAATTCCAAATGCCTTTAGGTGGAGAAATAGCAACAAGGGAGTCAATGCTGCTAAGACACAGGTTCAAACAGTCAGGAAAGAGCACAGAGGAAAGACAGAAAACATGGACTGTCTGCCTGCTCCACTGATTGCCAAGAGAAGAGAAAACCTGAGGATGCTTCTTTGGAAAACAACAAGTGTTTTCCAGACTAACTCTAAGCTATGCAGATGCTGCATCCCCCTATTTAATCTCTCTTAGCTCCTAACAAGAGGGAATGCTGAAGGAAATTACAAAGCAATAGAATAAAAATGCATACAAGATAAAGCCCTTTCCATCTCATATATAATCTACATCTCATCTACAGAATAATTCTGAGGCAAATCACAGAGTAATACTGAAACGAGGATTAGAATTTTAGATGCGTAAGAAGAGAATCTTAAATAATAGAGGTGGGATAAAATTAGAGAAAAATAGGGATCCTCATCCTTATGGTTTAAACTGATTGCCATTTGGAATCAAATTCAGCTTGTAATTCCCCTTTAAAAGATATTAAAATGCATTAACATGTGTTATTGAGATGGCACGTCTTCCTCGGAAGCATGCGGAATAAGCAGGACCTGAGTAGGTAAATTGTTTGATCCAAGCTACCAGGTTCCACTTTCCTGGTCATAGGAATGTAAAGAATTGGTTGAAATTGGAAAAAAGTAAAATTAATGTTACATCTCACCGTGGATCAGGGTAAGAGGAAGTGCTGGGTGGGAGTTGCTGAGCATGTTCCAAACCCAGCACTTGTAGTCAAATCTTTGCAACAAAAATAGAACATTGCAGTGCCGAGTTTGGATCCAGCTTTTCCAACCCTTCTCATTCCAGACTTCTCATGGGTTTCATGGTCGTGACTGCCTTCCTGTCGATGTGGATCAGCAACACAGCCACCACTGCCATGATGGTCCCCATAGCACGGGCAGCGCTGGATCAGCTGCACAAGTTGGAACTGGAGTCCAACTTAGAGTCCAGTGGTGCTGGCCAAGCGTCTGAAGTGCAGGAGGGGTCAACTCCAGAAGAAAAAGGTGAGTGGGTTCTGGCTGGCTTTCTCTTTGGGGGGATGGAGGATGACCTGAGGCCTTCTTCACTGTCATAAGGGCTGCCAGTTAATTCTAAAAGAAGAACACACCTCAAGCATCCTGACTGCATCACACAGCATTGATGAGGCTCTTGCATCAACCACACAAAACCACCATAAGATCTATTGACCTGACTGAAGTTGGAAATAGATCAAAAATATGAAGAGATGATAACTAATCAATAATCCAAAAACAGGAATACATTCTCCATTGGCTGAAGCTTTTACATGAGGCTTGATATTTTTATGAATCTTTGCCTTATTTCAATTATTGCCTACTGTCTAACTGATCAGATAATATTGAATTCCCATGGGAAAATTCCTGACCTACTGCAAGCCAGAAGGGTAGGGATTAAAATGATCTTTTTAATCCAAAGATACACAATCAAGCAACAATATCTCTTTACCAGCTGTCTTGCCCTCCCCTCATGTTTGACATGACACCACTGTTTCTGTAAGTCCCAGGGCCAGCAGTCAGGTGCGGGTACAGAACAAGTTCCCTTCAGCCCAGCTCCTCTGGCTCTGCTGTAACTCCCTGAATTCTCATCTCTCTGCACTCCATGTGCAGTTCAGACATCACCCTAGTTCACCAAGAAGTGTTAGCCAAATGGGCAGAAGATGAAAAAAGTAACAATACCGGTCTTAAAATGAGGACATTTGGTTTCTTCAGCTTTGAGTCCATTGTGTCCTAGCCTTGAAATACTGAGCTGTGCAGGCACAATATCTTTTCCTGTCCAATCAAGTTTCTGCATCTCTTTTGTTCCTTGGGATACAGGTAGAACTCATGTCCTGACGATTGAAGACGAGAGGAAGAGAAATGAAGATCTGCTAGAGGAGAAACACTTGAAACTGTGCAAGGGAATGTGTCTCTGTATTTGTTACTGCAGCCAGTATTGGAGGGATTGCAACTCTGACTGGGACAGGACCAAATCTGGTACTTCAAGGACAAGTTGAAGAGTAAGTGTGGTTGAATGTGGGATTACATAGCCACTTAACTGCATCATTCTGTACAAATGACTTCCAGGCAGCACAGCTAATAAAAACATCAATTTGCTAACTTTGCTGTGAAGTGAGCTTCTCTTCCTTAATGGGCCTCACTGTACCTCCTCTCTTCTAATTCATTAAGTACATACAGAAGAGAATGTGGGATTTTGGATGCTAACAGCCACCTGCATTTTACAGGCTCTATCCTGATAATGGTGGTGTCATCACCTTTGTCTCCTGGTTCTCCTTTGCCTTCCCCACCATGATTGTGTTACTGGTTTTGGCATGGATTTGGCTCCAGATACGGTACCTGGGCTTTAAGTGAGTACCCTTCACCCTCTGCAGTCCGGTTGGTGGGCCTGTGATCAAGGACTCATTGCACAAGTTGTCCTGGTCTAGTGGAAGAGGTCCCTGCCCTTGGCAGGGGGTTGCAATGAGATGGTCTTCAAGGTCCCTTCCAACCCAAACCATTCTGTGATTCTATAGTATTTTCCCCTATGTGCTCAGATAGCACAATCCTTTTTGTATTTAAATCATGAGCTTTTAGGGGCAGGAAGCTGCTTCCTGATCACCTTGGCAAGCCATGGCACAATGCAGTTAGTACCCACCACGGCTGCTGATCTTATGATTATAATATATTTAATTGCAATATTTCTATATCTAAAAGATATTATGACTGAGTATAAAATTTGAATTCTTAACTGAGGCTATCTGGCAAATGTCTCCGATATTTCTTGTCTGTTTTCTTCTAGTTTTAAGGAGAATTTTAGTTGTACTGGAAATTCCTCTGCCATGGTTAAGGAGAAAGAGGCCTATGCCATC